CCATGTCAGTGAAGCCTAGTTGCTCGAGAGCTTTCGTGATATGATCGCAGGCGATAGTCTTCTTTGCTTCCTTCTCAGAGATCTCGTTGGCCTCTGATGAAATAAGGGTAATGAACTCGACGCAGCATTCAATCAAGAGATCGCGAGCCTCTTTAGCGAATGCCACGCCTGCCGATGGGGGAAGAATTTCAGATACAATCTTTTGGACAGTAGCTGCAACTAAGTTAGCAAATGGACTTTTTAAATATGAGGAGCACTTTTACATACCTTTCGGGAGCGACAGGTCGTCGTTACCTATAAGACAAAATTGTTAGCCAAGGGTCTTGAAGCAGACACGAAGATCAGACCAAGTGTTCCATTGTCATATTTGAGCCAGTATCTGGTTGACGCTGGTAAAGGCATCGCGGGAGACAAATCGTAAAAAGAAAGAAAAAATACCAAGTCGATAGAGTATTTGAGATAGACAGTGGAGTTTGAGATGAAAATAGATGCGAAAGTGTGCTATGTTTGTAAAGTGTCGATAGTGATGAAAAGGGATTCAATATATTGAACATGGTGAGAAACTTCTCGGTAGAGATCAATATAAATAAAAGTTGAATGAATGTTATTCACAACGCTGTGACTTGCACCCGACAGTGAGGCATTGTCGTGATGGTCATGACGGGTTGAGAACTAAGACGGAAGATGCGTATAAACGAGACGAGCAGGAAACACAAGAACAAACGAACAAATAAAAAGAAAGAAAGTACTTGCCTCCAAACTCGTGATCAGACATATTGAAGCAGCAAAAATCCGTGAATCAGTGTGGTGATGGAAGGTGTTTGCGGTTGACTGCGTTAGTATTTTGGAGATGAGACCGAGTATACACCAAAGACGCGGTTATTCAGAGACGGTGGCTGGCCGAGTGCAACGCGAAGACCAAGTCCCAGGAAGCAAAAAATGTAACAAAAAATAGAAGCGAAGAGAAGCGAGATCTTCTAGTGATGTATGTATCCGTTGAGAAGCGTGTATGTTTCACTGTCGTTTGAGTGCTGTTGTTTTATATTGGATCTAGATGATGAGCTTCACTTTTGCTTGTCAGGCTGAGAAGGAGACAGACGGGTGGGATGGTTACTCAGGCCCATGAGTGGTGGGGCAAGCCTCTTTTGTATCTGAAGAGCTGTTGCTGCCCTTTGGGTTTTTTTCTTGCACCGCGCTTGTAGCCAAGTCTCCACCTGGAATTTCATTTGCTCAGTGGAATTTTATTCATGGCAGTGCCTCGAGCACCAGTCCCAGGCAGCCCAGTGGGTGGAGGAGCCTCAGGTCCCAAGGCTGCTGTACGTAACTGGACTGGGCTGTAACTTAATTGGAGGTTTGCTTCAGCGGAGGCTGTCTCCATTTCCAGCCACACGGGGCGCGTCTTTTTTGTTGTGCACGGACCAGTTAAGCAGCTATTTCAGAACTTCCATCTTTTGAAAATTTCCTATTCCTTCATCAACACATTCCTTTTCTCTCTCCATTCTCTACAAACATGCCACAACGCTCTGATCGAGCTGCGGCTTTGTCTAGGGGGCGCCAATAGCGTCTTTCAATTTGCTATACCTCGAAAGTACTCGCTTTGTGCGTTGCTTTCACTCGAGTGCAGCCGCCAATTCTTTGGGTAAGTCTCTCTTTGTTCTCCCTACACCAATTCGCATGAAGAGATATGTTGTCGCCCCAGGCTGAGGAGGTTCGACAAGCCTCCTGTGCTGATTGACTTCGTCCTGTGCCAAATGGACAGAACTGATTGATCCCAATCATCTTTGTTTCAAAGTTTGAACTACGCAACCCGACCAATGGCTAATCAACTCAAAGTTTAGGCTGCATTCTCTAACCCATGCTGTAAGACTCCCTTCAGCATCTCTACACCCCTCCGATACGCCGTGATGCACTTTGCTATCTGGTACTATCAAATACCGACTCTCATGACGGATAAAAACGATAGCCTGAGCGCATTCGACTGCAAGCTTGCTTTGGATATCATGTTGGAACTGGAACTAACATGCGACAAGGCAGCTGCTTCGAATATCACGTCTTTGGACTCGGTTGCATGCGACAAATCAGTATCAGGTAAGAACAAACTTTTTATTTCTTTGTACTACAAACATCAAATGCTATGATGAAGAAACTTACATTCCATGCTAAATCCGAATGTCCATGTGGAGCAAATTAAGAGCTTTTCATCTTTCGACTGACTTGCATTTGTCTTTCTATCTTTTATCTACTTGAACATATGCAAAGACATAAAGCTAACATTGCTTGAGATACCCAGGTTCTTCTAGGATCCCTAAGGTAACCCCTATTCTTGGTACGCCTCGACCTCTGGTGAGTTCCATCTACATAATTGTTAGTCCTTGATGTCATAGTGTGTTGTGTGAGACGTACGAGAAGAATTTGCCGCTCAGCTCTTTGAGCGGGTCTGCGACAAACTTGGCCATAACATTCCCTGGCTGCTCGGGCTTGAGCAAGATGCCCTTTTCTTTGGCTTCGACGAAGGAATCGTATTGTGCCTTGTTCATAGATGATTGGCCCTCCGATCTCAACACGCCTTGCATCTCAGTGTCAACTCGACCTGGTGCAATGGCAACACTTGTGATGTCAGGCTCTTCTAGTGCAATGTGGGCCGAGACAGAATTGTAGACAGCCTTTGATGAACCGTAACTTGACCAGGCGGCATACTGCTTGGCTGCTGCTCCTGACGACACCCATATAATGCAGCCTTGGGACTTGCGTAGCTCTTTGATCGCAGCTTGGGCCTAGGGTTGTCAGTATGGTTCATGCTCGTAAAGGGCCTGGTCAAGATCCCTACCAAGGCAATACCGCTGAAGACGTTGATGTCATAGATCTTCTTCCACTCTTCTACCGTGGTGTCTGCAAACTTCTTGGGCGCCAACATGCCATGGTTGATAACCAGACCATCAACCTTGCCGAACGAGGATAAAGCAAGGTCAACCAGCTTTGAAGGTAGCTAGACAGCATATATCAGCCTCGTAACTCCTGAGCGTTCAGTTGGGTTACACACCTGAGGTTCGGCAATATCTCCAGCAATGAATTGGACCTGCTCAGGGTGCGATTTCTTCAACCCCTCCAATGGTTCAGATGATCGAGCTGTAATAACAACCTTGTGGGACTGGTTAAGCAGATAACGGGTAATGGCAGCGCCAATGCCCTTACTAGCACCAGTAATAATGAATACTTTGGAGCTCATGTTGAGGAATCTGCTGTGTAACTGATACTGTTAGTGTTCAGTAAATATCTGTGACTTGGCACCTTTTTGAAGCTCAAGAGAGTGGGGGGTTTCTTGGTGATGAGTGATGGTGGGGTCAATTTTGGAGCTTCAATCTTGGCTACCCTGTATCATCGTCACTCACGTCATCGGTCCTTTCTTGGTAATAGCCCTCCTGCATCAGCTGAGATCTTGTTCCGTTTTATCAATTATACAATATTTCTAATTATAATACTTGATTCCAATGGCCTCGACGGTGATTGTTGGAGGTGGTATAATTGGCATGGCGACAGCTTATTACCTCTCGGAACATCAACCGGGCTCAAGCATCTACCTTATTGACTCGTCGGCAACGCTATTCGCCTCGGCATCTGGTTACGCTGGTGGATTTCTGGCGAGAGACTGGTTCCATCAAGATCTTGCGTCTTTGGGAGCACTGAGTTTTGACGAGCACGAGAAATTGGCAAAGCAGTTTAACGGGAGGGAGAAATGGTTGTATGCCAAGTCAGTAACTGTGAACTATGAGCTACCGAGGAGGAAACCAAGGAGTTCGACCGGTCAGGATTGGCTACATGAGGGAGGAAGTCGTGCGGATGTGGTAGAAGACAAAGGGGAGGTTCAAGATAGGAATAGCCCGCCTTGGTTAAGGCGTATCAAGGGTGATGCTCTCAGCTTGGTTGATAATGGTGAAGGGACAGCTGTTCTGTAAGTCATCGTCTTATGAGAACGATGTATTCTAACAATTAATATCTATAGAGAACCCCTAAAACTATGTCAGTTTCTTCTGGAGAGGTGTCGAGCAGCGGGTGTACGGATACATAACCCTGCCGTTGTTCTAAATGTAGGCGCCGACTGCCACGATGAGTTATCATATGTCCGTATTGGCTACACAGACTGCTCCTCAGAGACATATATCCCAGCTACGCGAATACTTGTATGTGCTGGGGCATGGACCCCGAGTGTTTTGGAGTCCATGTTTCCCGGATCATCTATCAACATACCCGTCACACCGCTCGCAGGACACTCACTTGTTGTACGAAATCCCACAGATATCGGTGATACGTACCACTCTGTATATACAAGCATGGACGACTTCTCGCCAGAGATTTATGCTAGACCAAATGGACATATCTGGCTTGGTGGCGTGAACGCATCTCTCCGACTGCCGCCATTAGCAACAGGTGCGAGACCCATGGATGCGCCACTTGAGAAGCTGAAGAACCTGGCGAGGCAGATCATCAGAGTCGAGGATGATGAGCTGGAAGTTATACGGACAGGCTTGTGCTTTAGACCTGTCTCAGAACGAGGAACACCCTATATCACGCGAATAGAGGATGTGGATCTACGGCAAGGCTACAGGACTCGGAAAGGAAGCGATGGTGGCGTCTATGTAGCGACAGGACATGGGCCATGGGGGATCAGTTTGTCGTTGGGAACAGCGAAAGTTATGGCTGAGATGATGCAGGGAAGAGAGTTAAGCGCTGATATTAGTAAGTTGGGATATTGGCCGTGATCGAAGCTTGAGTAGCAGGGTAGTTGAGGATGGATACAAAGCAAGACACACAGAGATTCGTATGCAAGAATAGCACCATAGCATGGAGTTAACTGAAGTATCATTGCACCTGGGACGGCTGGTAAATCTTCTTGCCACTGCTCGCATGCAAAGCACTCATATACTGGCCAGATCATTCCCTTGGTTGCAAACCGACATGCTGGCGATAGACTTATCATAAACCGAGGATATTTTATGATATCCTTAGGATATATTAGCAAGAGAAGAATGCCATCGCCTTTTGTTGGGACGAAATCCACGGGTACCGTAAGCAGTCAACTGATCAGCAATAAACTCTGGCATGTCCTGCTGGAAACGAAGATTGGCGGCGTCCAGCTCAACCCCAGTAATAGCTTTGGTTGCCAGTGCCTTGTGAAAGTCTCGATACTGCGAAGGTATGTCCGACCACTCCTCCTCGTTAAAAGTAACCGACAATTGGAAGCCGGCATCTCGCAAAGGAGCCGTTGCCTCTGCAAGTCCGATGAAGTCTCTCCAGGGAAGATGCATGTGTATCTCCAGCTCCATCTTATCTGCGAGGGCAACCAGTTCCTTCACCTAGAAGTAGAAATGGAATTCCGCGTTGGTGGTGGCACCGTGAGCATAGTCAATCATCTCCCAGGTGTTGAGTGAACTTGAACTGATATCACTCTCTTCCACCAATAGCATAACAGCTCTTGCGTGTATCCGTGGCATTTGTGATTTGTTGAGGGAGAAGAACGTGGCACAATATAATGCCAATTCATCAACGGACACGTTGCAATAGAACACAAAAAGGGTTTTCGAGGCAGTTCGAGCAAAGGGCGGTTGATTTGTGCCTTTTTCCAATCCCTTTATATAGCGATCAAGATCGTCATCGCACAACTTGGGCATGCGGTAAGGGATTAAGCCCTTTGTGGTAGTGTCTTTGGTGTTTGGAGCCGGCATGATCGAGCGAGTGTAGGTTTCGACCCTGCGTTCCTCGGGCGAGATACGACTATCTTGGTGATGTAGAATATCCGCGTTTGCTGTATTGACGCCAGAAGAATACAAAAAAGTAGGGGAATCTTGAGCCGCATCTCCTGGGCGATCGATATCCATTGGGACAGTTTCCGCATGCCCTGGATGCGCGAACTGGGCGATGTCCTGAGAAACAGCATGGAAAGACTTGAGTCTCTTCCGAGGCGGCTACATTCAAAATCAGAGAAGTCCCATCGGGTCAAGATGGTCGAGAGCACTTACGCTGTGACGGAGATCCATGTTGACTGATTTGATGCTTTTCAGGTGCAGAATTTAGGATTCATGCCTTCTCCTTTCTCGAGAATGACGGGCCTGTACGTCTGTGATATAAGTCAGGTACTGCGAAGGTATAGAAGGGTGAAGAGATTTCATACGATAGTCAAAGACTAGGTTTAACAAGTGAAAAGTTTCTCACTGCTTGAAGTGGCCGTGTCAAGAGAGCAAAGACGCAGCGTAACGAAGGGGTCAGGTGTAAACATGAAGAAGGAATAGCAACCGGAGCAAGAGATCAGTGAGGGGTTAAGTTAGTTGATACAAAAGTTCAGACGAAAATGCAAAACTGTGCTATCTGTGTTTGTTTACCCGGTGTCTGTCATATACATAGGTAGTTTGATGCTATGGTAGTCATAGCTACTTCTCAAGGGGCACTGAAAATAGCGAATTTGAAGTCATCCTAAGTCTGTACTAAATTTGCCTTGGTTTACCTAAATCTTTCTATCACTTAGGATAGCAATCCTTACTTTTCTTGCCTACCGCAGCTCTTTACGGTGTAGTCAATGCCTTTCATATTTTGTTTTGTTAGACATATAATCGATCTTAATTTTGTTTCATGGCATTGATGGAAGCCTCTATTTCACGAGACAATCGCGAAGTTTCTTGATATCTTCACTTCCTGCCCTACAGCATCCGCCGACCAAGATGGCAGGCCAATTTCCTCTTTCCTCTGTAGCCTTTACGACTGTCTCGAGTTGGCGTTCCCAAGATGAGCGCCTGTGAGTCTCAGCACCGTCTGGCATCTCCCATTTTTGTGTGGTTGTGTTGTAAACCTCTCCATTCGTGCCGTCAGGATACAGCACCAGAGCAGGCCACTCAGTAATCTTGCCACTCTCGATCAAAGCTGAGACAGTGCGCTCGAAGATCTGAAGGAGCTGGTCAAGCTTGTCGACCTTGGTGCAGTTGATACCGATACCCCAGGGCAACTTGGATGAAACTTCGGGATCCAGCATGGCCTCCACAGCGGCCTCAATGGAGTTACCATCAGGCATCTTGAGGTCCTTCTCAGGCGACAGACACGCCGTCCAGTAAGGGAGATCAGACAGCGTTGGTGTGGCAGCGAGCGCTTTGCGCATGGCAATGATCTCGTCAACGCGGGGAATAGTCTCAAGGGCAACATAGCCCACCCGCTTCTGCATATCAGAAACCTCAGCGAAGACGCCCAAGCGTTCACGGTGCCATGCCTCCAAATCAGCCAAGGAGTTGTGCTCAGCATCGTATTTCCCGCTATACTCCTGGCCTGGAATCATGCAAGCTCCGTAAGGTCCAATGCTCAAAGCAACACAGCCCTGGTCCCCCACAGCACGCTGAGCGATGCTAACAGCATCATCCAAGAACCGAGGAACAGCGTCGCGAGGGATACCCTCGGGGAAATCCTCAGTGCGAGTGTCGGCGAAACCATGAAGCGAAACCTGATATGTCGCTGTGAGAAGCACGTCAACTGGGACAGCTCCGAAATCGCTCTGACATGATTGGAGAGTGGATTGGTCAGAAACAAGCAAATGAGAGGACCAGAGCGGCGTTGAACGGGAGAAAGTGATAGAGTACTTGGACTCGAGAGAGGTACCGAGGCCGCCGTCAAGAATGAGAATTTTGGACGGCATTTTTATGTTTGGTATAGTTGTGGTTGTGGTTGAGATTGATGAGTTTGTGCCCACTCTGTCTAAAGAAAAGAGAAAACTAGTGGATTGTCAAGACGCCCTTTATCGAGCACGAGTCCTTAGTCGGGAATAACATCATTCAGTCAAAGAAAATTGCTTATTATTGCAGAATAAAGACTATGCAATATCTGTTCATGTAAATGATCTGACTAGTGAATTTGTGAAACACAATATTGCTGTCAAGTAATTCTCGTAGCTGGCTTAATCGCAGACACCATCCGGCGATGCTGAATGAAGTTTCTTTCATCAGGCCACCACTTCAGTCATCTGGATTATCTGAACAGTAAAAAAATGGCAAAGGACGTCCAACGATCAGTCGCTAAAGACATGTATTCTGAGCTAATGGGCATTGTATCTAGAATCTTGTATTTTGAGGACATCGCCACTAGATGTCCAGGCCCTTTCTTGGCCTCCGCGTTCGCTGAAAGGCAATGAAACACAAAACGAATTACACAGAAATAAGAGACAAACTGATGACAAGTATTCAGTGAGTGTTCAGATTCAGCATCCGTGCAGGGACAATGAACAAGGCTAGGAAACCTCACCTATTCAGTCATCTCGAGTGTTCGAAGATGCATTATCATTGTTCAAGACGGAAAGAATCTGTCAAACAGCTGCATGAAATATTTAAAGCGAACCCTAATTCACTGCAGTTCTTGTCTCTTTTCATCCTCAGATCAGTCTCATCCGATCGGCGATATTACCTACGACCATACACTCGTCGCCCGAGCCTCATCCCCCCATTACACAAAACAGGAAATGTCTCTCCGAAGATTCTCTGGCTGTCTGGGATCCTCTTACGACGATTTTCTACACCTGACTATCGGAGTTTGCACGGAACCTACGGAGGGCTATCCAAACCACTGGATTCTCATGCTCGTCGATGATGACACCGAGTACGCAATATGTTACCAATCCTTGGGTGGTCCTACGAAACGCAGACCCTGGGAACTTGTGATTGAGAGTGGAGAGACCAGAAGCTGGGACGTCGATCACTTTTACTACGTCTCTGAGATCCCAGCGCGACATAAACGAAAGGTGAATGCTTCGGCGAACAAAACTCCAGGTGGGTTTAGTCAAAGATGGGTTGTGAGAGTGCTCTGGGATCTGGAGCTGCAGAATGTTGTTCCTCGTGGTACGACGAAGAGGATCGCTCAAGCTGTGCAGGAGGATCCCTATGCTGATGCATCACCTATAATGGAAGAGCACGAGGGTTTCCGGTACCAGATGTTCGACTGGGTAGAGAAGCATTGCTTGTCTAGGCTTGGGTCACCTAGACGATAGAAGCACTACATAGCGCAGGTCGCTTTCTTTCTCATTTCTTTGAGTTCATGACAGGTAAGTAAAGGTATAGTATAGGCTACAAGATAAATGAAATGAAAGAACTCGTAAGCCTGACGACGAAGCATTGTCTTATGACAGCATCATGATGTGAGATGAAATTCTCTAAACTTTGATGAACTCGTCATAATTTAGGCCTCTCTTAGGACAAAATACCCTGAAATTTTACCGTTACCATCCTTTGTCCTGCACAGTCATAGCATATCATAGCATCCAATGCTTCTCTTGTTCTTGTCTCGTACCTCCATCTTGTAATTCCCCAAGGCAAAGTCCTGGGCTCTGAGTTCGTAGATAAGGTAGGCTTCTGTTGCCCTGGTCGGTGAACTCGTCCAGCTGCTTGCTGCTCCCACGCTTTCTTCCACCACTGTCCGCATCGGATAACAACATTTGCAAATTGCATGTTGAGTCCCTGACCACCGGTACCTCTACTAGTCAGTAGGGCATGCAGGGGCGTAACTTGAGCAATCTTATTGATGGTTGAGTGGCGCTGGACTGTATCGAGTCGCCCATTATATGTACCGTGGCCGACCGGGTGGTAGGTCTTGTCGAGTGCAATCGCCACGATGTCCAGTAACCACACGCTTTCGTCAGCAATGATGAATGAGCCGTAGGGACGAAAATCAAGATGTTATCGTACTATATCGAGTATCGCCTGAACGCGTCGTGAAAGAGAGTTGTCTCCCTGCTCTAGGTACTGATAACCACTCAGCAGTGTGCGCGAGAGCTTGGGCGTCAGCGTCGTCAGAAATAGCATCGCCAATGTCTTCCTATCTCATAGGTTCCATGAGGCCTTTGTGAGCCAGCTTCAGCTGCACTAGCATTGGATGATAGGCGTATTGATGGGCTTCGATGAGGTGTGATCAACCTGTAGTATTGTCTGATTGCGTCGAGGTGCTTTGCCACGTACCTTCTTGCTTCGTTCCCCCTCCTCAAAAAATAAGTTTCCTGTATTCCGTGATTCTTCCTCGGACTTTCATCTCCCATCCGAGGCGAGAGCGAAGCGTAGCACAATGCCGGTCCTGTACGGAGGGCGATCTTGAAGAGTGGAAATCGGATTTGAGAAGCTAGCTGCGTCGAGTATCTGGATGTATCGGGTCATGCGTTTTCCAGTGTTATGTAGAGGGGCCATTTGACCAGGCTCTTTGCATGTTTTCTGCAATGGATCGAAGTCGGTGATGGGGTGCCCTTCCAGCAGACTCGGCAGGGCATTACCGTCCTCCCATGTGTTGTCTAGAGACGTTCCTGTCAAGCATAGACAACCTTCGGATTGCCCACGGAGTGCGGTGACGGCAACAAATGTGCGAGTGTTGCGGTTCGTGATGGCTTGGACTCAAGGCTGCTGGTCTTACTGTATCAAAGAAGGTATCAATCTCGGCCATTCACTGGCTACAGCATGAGAGAGGTGCAACGATAATTGAAGGCCCTTCTCCAGGCTCCCAGGATAAAGTAGCCACGGCAAGCGCTACCAGGGCCTTGCCAAGCCCTGGGAGGTTCCCTCAATCTCATGCCCTTGAGGGGCCAGCAAGCGACAGCATAGCGGCTCCCACAGCATACCTCTGGTGCTCGAAGAGTGTGTTGCCGTACTTGAGGGCCGGGTATACGGCCTGCGCGCGGCGCGTCATGTTTGGCGATCTATTGTGAACTTATGATTAGTTATCGAGTTGGTCTTAGTGCTATGAGATGAACTTTCAATCATGTCGTGGAGGGTATTCAGATATGTGACGATACCTTTCTCATCAATATCACCGCCATCCTCATCCTCATCCTCACTGTCATCTCCATCGCCGCTCGCGGTTGTATGAGTGCGATCATTGCTGCCGTCGGCGGGGCCCTGTGTAGAATTTCTCACGTTGTTAATGGCTGCGCTGTTGTATCAGACTGATCACGGGGCTGAACGATGCCTTCAACACTCTCCATGAAGTCAGTGAAGATAAAAGGGTTGGTCTTTGGAAGTCGAGTCAAATCATGCGCTTTGGCAGATATCGCTTCCGTGCGAGCGATAATGGCACTGACTTTGCCGTCACAGATTCACTTGAGTTAAAGAAGGAGCAAGTAATAGTGAAGAGAAAGGAAAAGGAAGTGAGCCAACGAGGAATACGGGCATTTATAAGGTACCTTACCTTCTTAATGCTCGACACCTTCATGATGATAGTGAATCACAGCCATCATGCTTGCTCCACATTGATTCAAATCATATCACTACATGCGTCAAGATGTAAGAGAGCCAAGCACATCGTCCCAAGAGCAGGCCCAACAGGGAACAGACAACTGATCAGAGCTGACTTTAGAACAGGTGAAGATCTCGCTTGGTACTCTAGACTGCCTACTAGTGAATGAACCCCCAATCCTCGCATCAACATGCACTCGCTATCGAAGAGACGTCGGCATCCTTCGTCGACCTTTGTCCTATTCTGCTTGTTATTTACAGCTGCCTCGAATCGTTCGTGACCTACCCTGACGACCACCAAAGGTTTGCTGCAGAGTATGAGCCCTCTCTACGATATGTAAACATGGATGCGTTGCTGAAACAGCCCAGTGCTTCTGTAGACGTTCATAAGATAACCCTTTTGGTGGAATAGTTAGATGTTCTGAATGATGTATTACAAATTCCGAGGCTCTTGGGGAATAAAAGAACTGGGAACCACAGTATTCATGTGTAAATGAACTACCTTAGTAGTCAAAGAGACTCTAAGTTTAGGATAAATTTACCTACGTTTTGTCATTTTAGGATGGACCCAAGGCTTATAGTTGGTTCTGTTATGGATGATGATAGTTCAATCCTGTTTTTCCAGCAATTGGCCTTGTTCATACTCAGCGACTGAAGTGAATTGTCGATTTGAGGCTTAATTCTGTGCCTATTAACCTTGTGGCCTCACCGTTTGCAGAGTCGTTGATGGAACAACGGTCAAGATCTCAATCCGTCAAGATAAGGTCTCCGATCTCGTGCTTATCTCGACCCTGGCCAATGACTTGATTCAATCACGTAGCTTGTGCTGCTGCCATTGGCGTCGCTGCTCAACCGTAACTGGCTCGATTTCTGGACAAGCTCATTTAAGGTTGGCGTACGTCAGGGCAATCCCATCACAGCTGAAACCCGCCGCAGGGCGTTAGCTTCCCTTCTGACGACGGGAAGCTCCCTGAAATAGAGGCCCCCGACCACCTTAAATACTGGGGAGCTCTGCATTTCACCTCCATGCCAACGTCATCAACGACAAACGGGCATCTTCACCTCCACCCGCAACAAAGACAGCCCGCAATGGATTTCTCCGACTTTGAAGTCATCGACCCAATCGCCGAGTTTGGCCATGAGAGCAGCGACGATGACGATGCGCAGCCGCCGTATGCGCATCTTCAGGGTGGTCATCCCCCGTGGCAGGGCCATGAGGGTAAGCTAGTCGGTGTTGTTGACATGGGCAGGTGAGAAGATACCTTAGAGACAATCCATCGACTGCAACAAAGAAACTGACAAGTGATGCCATCACCAGCAATGGAATTCGTCTCTCAATTTCCGACCTTTCAAACCCATTGGCTCGTATGCTTCCTACCGTTTACCAGTATCGCGCCTCCATTTCCCTCTACGATTCTCAATATGATCCCGAGACTGGAGATCAGATTCCCATCCCCGACGATATCATCGAGTCCGTCGTTTCAGTCTTGAGTCGATTCGTTGTTATTTGTGGCGACTTCCGGTGCAAGAAGGAGAATATCCATGTTATCGCGACCGAAGCCACCCGCGCTGCTGTCAACTCGAAGCAGTTCTTGGCTGCTATCAAAGACAAGACTGGCCTGACAGTTGAGCTTCTACCCAAGGAGGAAGAGGGCCAGATCGGTGCCCTCGGCATCGCCAGTGGCTTCTCTAACATGGAAGGCCTGGTGATGGACCTTGGCGGTGGCAGCACCCAGATTACCTGGATGCTCAGCTCGGGCGGTCAGGTTCGTATGAGTCCAAAAGGCAGCTTCAGTTTCCCATATGGAGCTGCTGCTTTGACCAAAAAGCTCTACGATCTTCGTGATGGCAAGAAGAAGGACGAAGCCGATGCTGCTGTCAAGGCTTTTGAGAAGGAAATGATCGCCAACTTCAAGGACGCGTATAACAATCTGCAGATTCCCGCTGAGATGACCGAGAAGGCTGAGAAGGAGGGCGGGTACCGTATTTATCTCTCCGGAGGTGGCTTCAGAGGATGGGGATATTTGCTCCTATACCTGAATCAGACGGATGGCAGCTACTATCCCATTTCCATTATCAATGGATACACTGCCAAACGTAAACAGTTTGAGGACACGGAGGCTCTCAAGCATGTTGCTCATGCTGCGAAGGACATTTTCCGTGTTTCAGATCGTCGAAGATCCCAGGTTCCAGCGGTCGCGTTCCTTGTCAATGTTCTTTCAGAGTCAATCCCGGGAGGTATCAGAGAGGCACACTTTTGTCAAGGTGGCGTAAGAGAAGGCTTCCTCTTCCGTCAGCTTTCACCATCTATTCGAGCCCAGTCTCCGCTAGAGGTTGCCACAGGCTACTTTGCCCCAGGTTCGCGACATCTCATTCAGCAATTGCTCAAGAATGCAATCCCGAAACCTTCTAAGAAGAAGGAGTTCCCGGAGGAGTTCGGCGAGCCTGTTGTTGACTCCTTCGCCAATGCGATGTATCTGCACATGTTCATGAGTAAGGAGACGGCCTCGACGACGGCGCTGTACTCAACCAGTGTCGGAAACATGTCTGCGATCCATGGGGTTTCGCACCAAGATCGAGCACGGTTGGCCTTGATGCTCGAGTCCAAATATGGCGGCGAACTTCCTCCTCGTGAGCTAGAGTTCCGCGAGTCACTTCGCGAAATGCTCACGCCTGAGGAAGTCTGGTGGGCATCATACCTCGGCAGGGTCGGACAACTCATCACCGCGCTCTACCCAGCCGGTAAGATTCACAAGTCGAAGCCACGCGTTGTGTTCACGTCTCAGTGGTCGTACACTTTGGGCAAGAAGAAAAATAAGGAAGGTCTTCTGCTCACAATCTCGGTACAGAAGACAAACAATGACCCAGCAAGAACAAAGGAGACTGTCAAGGAGGCGGCTAGTGATGTGGAAAAGATCGGAAAGAAGAAGAACTGGATTGGCGATGATGAGCCTTGGGGAATGAAGGTCAAGGTCAAGGTTGTGGAGGAGGGTATTCTCTCTGAGGAGATGGAGGAGCTGAAAATGTAGGATATTATGATATTTGTTCTGGAAATTGTGTAAAAGCATATGGGGCTTGGTTTTGGGAATCGTCAAAGGCTATAATGGAAAGTAAATGAAGGGCAGAATATATAATGGCACTGGTTAACTGATTTGGAACAAATTGAGTGTGTTTCGTCCTCTGCCCGCCGTCCCCGCTATACTTCCAGCTTACCTCTACTCTAACAACCAGTGCACACCCTGAATGAGATCCTGCAGCCACTTCTTGGAAACAGGCAAGTCAGGGCAAGTCGTCCAGAAGCCATGAGGTAGCCCTGAGTAGATGTGTGACCTGGTTGATAGTCCGGCTTTTTGTAGAAGTTGATCGAGAAGAATAGCTTCATCGCGACGCGGATCCCAACCGCATATTGCAAAGTATGCTTTCTTTGCTATGTCTGTAATGGGAATTGAATAGAAGAGGGGACAGTCGCTTGTCTGCTGGGGGGGCGCCGTATAATCCTGCTGCATGATCAGTATTGAGTGAAAAGCATGCATTGTCAGAATGTTGTACCTGCGAAGTAGTCAATTGACTTTCGCGTGAGGCCAGGTGCATCGTTGATCTCGTCCACACTCAGAATACGGCCCAGATACTTCTCCGGTCTAACATCTGGATGACAGAAGCTCCCAGCGAGGAACACGACACCGGTGATTGTTGGAGAGAGGCCCTCATCACGGGCTGAGTGCGAGATCCCGGCAGTGAAGTTGGCGCCTGCAGACGTGCCACCAAGAATGAAGCCCTTGGATAAGTCTGTCTTGAGTTTCCTCTGGCCCTCTGACGATGTAGCCTGCACAGAATGTTAGCGGGTGGTAGTTTGGCAAGCGCTGTCTGTACCTTACCCAGCGGACGACGTCGAAGCTATCTTGAAAGCCAACGGGGAACTTGTGCTCAGGAGCAAGTCGATACTCAACACTCGCAACAACGACAGGTATTTCCAACGCAAGTGCTCTACATGTTACGTCGTCTGTTTCAAGACCACCCGTGACATACCCACCGCCGTGCATGTAGAGGAACAGAGGAAGGGCATCGTTGCAAGCCTTTTGACGGTAGATGCGCAGTGTGATAGATGAATTATCACGAACAGGGACATTTATTTCGTAAATATCGAGACCTTCCTGGGGAACAATCGGATCATGGTCTCTGGTCATGCCCAAGCTTGGTTTTGTGCCTGGAGGGAGATTGTTTGGGAACTGATGGGGTCAGTAGCAATATCATGAAGTTTGCACATGTCTTAGCGTACATCGACCCATTCGGGATGGGCTGTTTGTTGCATAGTGTCTATATTCGGCCATTCTAATTGTGCAATAGAAATGATGTTTTATTTAATAGATGTACAAAGGTGAGAGCTGTGTTTAAATAAGCGCGCTGAAAGCTATAGTCTACGAGGGCGAACTCGGAGTCGTTTTGCTGATCCTTGCCTCTCGTGTTAGAGATGCAGGTCTAGTCAGCTACTGTACTAATCATCCTTGGGATCTGAGATCTTTGATCACTTGATAGATTATCTTATCTGATCGTACTGTTACGGTAGTTTTGTCTAGTACCTTTGCTTGCACATGCAGCCTCTACTTGTCCTGGCTTAAAGCCTCTTCTGTGACACTTCCGATGACGGCTCAAAGGATTGAGGTCTTACATATCATGATTCCCCATATTGCCCCCATTTCCCATCATCACCTCATTCCCTTGTCCTGCGCTTGCTCTGCTCTTTCGTGTGCTTCTTCAAAAATGGCGCTTTCTCCAACCCATCAGCCTGAGTCTTCCAAATCTTCTTCCCCATCGCAATATAACTCTCCCCAAACTTCTCAAGATCAACTAGCGCAGTTTCTCTTGTGACTCGATGCATCTCAGCGTACTCCTCATCAGTGCCAAACGTCGCAATCTTGTATGTCTGCTTCCACATCGCAACCATCTCTTTCGCAAAAGCACTTTCAGCTTGGATGTTCTTTGCGACGAGGTAAAATGAAGATCTGATCTTGTGGTGCTTGTGGTGCTTGTACAGCTTAACAGTCGCCATTTTGCTGAACTGATGGATCAAATCGAAGCTTCGCCAACTGTCGAGCTTGTGCATTAGAATCACCATTGTACCGCCATTCTTCAGATGTTCGAGACCGAGGGCGGTCTGTGTGAGAGTTAGGCGAGTCGCTTCTCGAGGCTCTCGCCATTCCGCACGAGGATGGGTACGTAGGACTTGACCATCGCAGAAGACGAGATCAAACTTCTCATCATCGCCCAAGACCTTTTCGAATAGAAAGTCATATGGTCCTGGAAAGTTCAACGGAACGTCGTCTTTGGTGATACCCATATCAGCTGCTAGCGTTGTGATGTCGCGAAACTCCACGTCCACTTGTGCATCGAGTATCTTGACGTCGTGCCCACCTTGGTCAACGGGAAGACTCATGGCTCTGATGTGAATACCAGGTGTCTTGGTCGAGGCTACATCAACGAAGCCACCTGGAGCCGCACACATGTCTAGCAAAGCCGGCTGTTCGACCTTGGACATGTTCAGAGCACCAGTTGCTTTATCGAGGTCAATTGCGATAGTCTTCATCATAGTGTAGAAGAACTGTGTACTGCTCGCGCTGCATTTATCTGCGACTGCTCGTTGTTTCTTGAAGTGATCGTCGCCTCTACTTGTCTCCCAACCCTATCTTCCTCGTTAAACGATTATCTTTACTCAGCATCTTTGCCACAGACATACCTTTCTTCTCAACTCATGGAGACGGCGAAACTCCTCCACGTTCTCCAAGAGATAATCGCGGATAGTCTCTTGAGCACTTCTCTCGGGCTCTGGAACTTCAGTACCAGCTTCCATGATTGGCGCCGTCTTTGCCTGCTTATCTTGCCCAGAAGTAGCACGTTCGCTAGGGTTTGAGCTTGAAGTGTCAGTGTCGGAGGGCATGTTGGAGGCTGGAGATTCGCTACTAAGTACCAACAGTTTGAGTAGAAGTGAAAGTAATTTCCTATCAAGAACAAATGCCATTTATACCTCCAAAGAGGATTATCATCTTGCACATGTCTGGAGGCCTATTGCCTTTGTTCCAGTTTGTACCCATTCACCATCTGGACCAACAAGCAACAGGCAGAAGTGGAAGTACTCGTTGGTGTTTGCCAACATGGTCGGCCTCCAGCATAAAGACCATACCATAACATATAATGCAGTACAAGGGTCTCCCGAGCACCAAAACTTGGTTGAGAATTGTTCTGCATCCATTGATTGGTCTTGAGTCTTATGAGGCCACAATCACAGGCCGACCGGCCTCTTCATGGCCACGGTTGGCAAGACAGGCAGACAGTCAAATTTACCGCCAGTAAGCAACAAAGCAACAGACTGGGGCTACTTGGATATAGTCTCTCCGATCACTGTTGATAATGCAAAGTTGCAGTGACTGGAAATCAAGTCAGATGCAGCCCTTATGGCAACGGCCTATTATGCCTATCGATATTCGCAAACAAAAGCCAAGTAGTCTATGTTAGAACAGTTAAGCCAGCTCGTAAGTATTTAGGTATCGGGTATCAACTCTAAACAGCTGCTGATGGACCATCCGTGGGAGGTTCGATCTTCTTGATCTTTCTATACCCCTCTCGCATTTCAGTCTTCTTGAATCTTGTCGAGTAAATATAATGAACAATAAACCACTGATATACGCAAAACAAACTAAAAGAGATTAGAAACGGTTCAGAGACAGTGAGAGCGTCACTTACAAAGCACAAATGCCAAAACAGCCACAGGCAATGCTAAGGTTGTCAAGCATTGCTACTGCTCCAGTAGATAAATCACCAACGAAACCCGTCCTTCGCTTGTCGAGGTTTGACTCATTGTACGCATCTATATCCTCCCGAAGAACAAATATGACAGTGAGAGCGGCAAGCCACATCAAAGTTGAAAGGGCCAGAATCAAAATATACCATATTGGCGGTCTTGGGTTGCTGCGGCCTTGTGGTTTCACTGGTATCTTGAGAGCAAAGAAATGAAGGGCTCCCTGAATTTGGTCAGTAAGCTTATATACATGTACAGGTGAGTGAACCTACGACTGCAAGATTGTATGCTGATGCAGTAAGCAAATTATGTCCCGGATGTTTAGATATTATCACCGCCGAAAGACCAATAACAGCACACGAAGCTATCCATCTCCCGATATCCGCTTTAAAAGCATCATCATAAAGTCTCTTAACCGGATTCGTCTCCTTCTCTTTCCCCAGCATATCCCTGACGATTTCACCCAGTGGCATAGGACATATTGGACTCGACATGGCTGAACCGGCCGGTATGGATGTGTAGGTAAGCTGCAGATGAGAAGGATCAGGTGTTTTTTTGGGCGCCGCCGCGTAATCTAATGTTTTATGGCTGTGGTCTTGGCTGGCCAGGGGATGTTGATCCAACATGACGCTAGGCCAAGGGTTGAAACTCCATCTTTTGGCCTTGGCCCTCGTCACTAATTCCCTTTTGCACTGCCACTGGAAATTGGCGGTGCCTGGGCTTCAATCATGCCATGTCTTGGATAAAAGGTCCAAGCAAATGCTCGCGTAATGGCCTTATTTGGAGGGTTAAACGCCAAGAACATTTGAGTATCTGATCATGAAGTGATTGAAGATATTCGCAACTAGGGTTTGTTTGAGGAACTGCATTTTTTTTATAGTAGCTACTTGAATAGACCTACAACTATTTCTTGGCATGTGAAAAAGCATGTTCTATAGATTAGGCCAATGAAGTTTACGGGAGAATAATCAAATTCAGGTAACTCTCTGGTCTCGGCTGTGGTTCATGCATCTCAGATTTCAAGTGCGGAATTCGAACATTGATTGATATCAAGGCCCTTGTGTAACCGACCGCATTTTAAACCCAGTGTAATTTAAATATTCTCTAAAGCTCGTATTATTGCCCAAATAGGGATCATACGGCGCTGCAAGGATCTACGACAGCTCAGCTCTGTATGGATGTTAGAGGCTGTGCTTAAGGCTGAAATTCCAAGTACAACCTCCCACTAAGCGCTTATGCTTATCTTTATGCAAACCCCAGCACATTATTTCCCCGAAGCTGACGACAAGATGGGGCTCATACACGTGGAATGTGATTTGATAGGTGCTTGTTGGCCAGTTATCTGTCAATCCCCCATATCTACTCCGTAAACGAATTTGGTTGTATCAGCGAGCTACCATGGCGTGGCTGGCAGAATAATGCCTTAGTGGCCGTGTCTTGCAGATTGGTTGTCACACCGTCCTATTGAATACGGTGATATGTGTTTGGTGAGTGTCTTGATGTCGTCTTCCTCATATATAAGCCCCCGGCCTCCTGACTCTTAGAATCTTCTATCTCATCTCTCACTACTCACGAATACTTGTTCTAAGACTACACAACAATGGGTGGTAAAAACGAAACTTGGACACCAAGCTACGACAACTGCGATAAAGTCTCGGATCGTTGCCCTGTCGAATACACCATCTACCAAGACTATCTCTCCGAACCAGCTTCAGGATTCTTCGCGATCGCTTTTGCACTCCTCTTCCTCGCACAAATATTCCAGGGGTTTCGGGCTAAAACATGGTCGTACATGATATGGCTGGGCATCGGGACAATCTTTGAAGTGGCGGGCCATGTTGGACGTTTCGGCCTGGGAAGAAATCCATGGCAACAGAATGTCTTTATCGTGCAGTACCTGACCCTCTTGTTGGCTCCTACTCTGGTTGCTGCTGCTATCTCAGTGACGTTCAAACATCTCGTTGTTTGGTACGGGGCAAAGTGGTCTCTTCTCAAGCCCAGGCTATATCCTCTCGTCTTTGTCGGTACAGACTTTATCTCGATTTTCATCCAAATTATTGGGGGTGGCCTCACAGCTATGCAAAGTATGGGCAAAGGATCTAAGACGACACAGAAACTTGGAGAGGCTCTTGTTATTGGCGGAGTTGCCTTTCAAGTTGCCAACATGTTGTGCTGCGGTGGTCTGATGCTTCTTTACGCTCGACGTCGAAAGCAGGCAATGAAACATCGAGACCCCTTGATGGGAAACGCGACTGATTTGTACGCAACCGGCATGCCAACTCGTGGGAGAGTTCCTGTTGCTCGAGAGGAGGCTACGTTAAAGGAGGCAAAAAGAGTCAAGTGGTTTGTCTATGCCCTGGGTATTGCTTATGCCTGTATCATCATTCGATGCGCCTACCGGTAAGATTCTATTGACAGTGCTTTCCCTACAATAGCTAATCAGCACTTAGTATCGCCGAAACTGTGCCAGATATTGGGGTAGATGTTCTCCGAAACGAAACACTATTCATCGTGTTCGACGCGACAATGATGTTGATATCCATCGGCGCTGTGACTATCCTCCATCCCTGTTTCTTCTTCCCTTATTTAGGCCTGAGAAAGAAACAGAAGAATCAAAGCAAGGTCTATGAGGGTTATAGAATGGAGAGCAGTTCAGCTTTAGTTGGACAGCAGCAGCACCCGCAGCAGCAGCAAGGGTATGCTTGAGGTTGACTTTTCGGGTCCAGTTGTAAATCACAAGTGTCTTTTATGAGTCTTTGGTTTGATTTTCTGCCTGTTGGGCTACATGGCATATTTTGTAGATTTCAAGGAGCTCAAGGTTTTTCAGTTTGATTCATACAGAACTGATTTGTATCCGCTGCTCTCGATAAAATTTGATACGGTGTTGCATTCTCAGAACATCAACTTCAGGCCCTCCAAGAAGAGGACATGCCTTCAGCTTTCCTGACCAAGGATCCGATTAATCAGAATCGGGATTGGCTACAGAATGTTACAGCCGTTATCGAGTGACAAACTATTTGACTATCGAATTTGACTATTTTATAAGAATATTACGTTAGCGCCTTCCTATAAAATAGTAGCCCGAGCCCTCTGCATTAGCTCAAACTCTGGAATAGTCGTGTTCTGCTTACCCATGTGACTCGGATTGTTAAACCACCGCCGGAGATCACAGCCGATGTATCATTTGATGTAAGCCATCTTTTCTTACGTCCGATGTCGCCTACAACGCGCGCCCTACAAGAACAATAATAACAAAAGACGAATGAAGATAATTGAATAAGCACTATCAAGGTCCGAAAGGCGCAGTGTAACGTTTAATAGAAGGCGCACTTTGTTGGTTGTTGTATAAATATCGAATTCTCTCTCCAAACATTGCATTTAGTTCCCTTCATCCCACTGCAAAATCAACCTAAGGAACCTACAGTTCAATGTCACAGACCTCACTCGAACTCGTTACTCCCAATGGAAATGTGTCTGATGACACAGTCCAATCACAAAACCTGGATCAACGCTTCGAGTCTCGAGCAACAGATGCCGAGTTCTCACTGCCTCCTGTAGATGGGGGAAGAAAAGCATATCTATTCTTAGCAGCTTGTTGGGTTGTTGAAGCAGTGACTTTTGGTAACATTCCTCGTCTATAGAGTTCACTAACATGAGTTGACAAAGAAACCAGGTTTTGGGTTCTCATTTGGCGTCTTTCAAGAGTACTACAGTCACCATGAGCCTTTCGCGGGCTCCAACAGCATCGCTGCTATTGGAACCACGACTACTGTAAGATACCTAAAAGGTTACTCTTCCCAAATCTTACATTATCTAGGGCATGTTGTATCTCGGAGCGCCATTCGTGGTCATTATATGCCGCTTCTATCCTCGCCAAGCTCGCTGGTTTACATATGCAGGCCTGTTCGTGGCATCCCTAGCCATGGTCATGAGTTCCTTTTGCACAACTGTTCCTCAACTCATAGCAACACAAGGGGTCCTTTTTGGAATCGGAGGCTGCTTCGCTTACTGTCCTTGCACTCTCTATATCGACGAGTGGTTCGTTCGCCGAAAGGGTTTTGCTTATGGAATTGTCTGGAGCGCTGCTGGAGCTGGAGGTGCTATGCTTCCTCTGGTTCTTGAAACTCTCCTCAAGAACTATGGCTTCCAGACCACTGCCAGAATATGTGCGGGCATCTTATTTGGAGCTGCAGCTCCGATTGCATATTTCATCAAGCCTAGACTACCACTTTCGGCGACTATCCACAGAAAGCCTTTGAATATGAGGTTCGTCACCTCCAAGGTGTTTCTTCTATATCAACTTGTCAATGTCGTGGAAGCAACAGGCTACTTCCTCCCTACGATCTACCTGCCCACTTATGCTCGGACAACCTTTGGCACCTCAACTATCCTCTCGGCTCTGACGGTTATTCTTGTCAATATTGCTACGACAATCGGTCTGATGGTTATGGGATCCCTCAGCGATAAGCTTGCAGTTACGACATGTATGCTTATATCGGCGGTAGGCGTGGGTATCTCAGTCCTACTCGTCTGGGGACTCACAGCATCTCTCCCTGTCCTGTACGTTTTCTGCGTCATGTACGGTCTCTTCGCGGGATCTTGGGCCTCCATCTGGCCAGGAATTATGAGAGAAGTGACACAGAAATTTCAGGATGAAAATGAGCACGTCGACCCTGTCATGGTGCATGGACATCTCTGCGTGGGTAGGGGAGTTGGAAATATCATCTCCGGACCATTGAGCGGTTCTCTTATTCGAGGTCAACCATGGCAGGGAAAGGTCATTGGGGGTTATGGAAGTGGATATGGCATTCTAATTTTGTACACTGGCCTCACGGGCTTGGCGAGCGGCATGAGCTTTGTGTGGCGATATTTGAATGTTTTGTAAGGGATGAGAATTTCTGGAAGCTGATTCTCCTTCAAAGTACATGGTATTGGTGGTGATAGCTGGTTTCGAGCGTGTGATGCTAAAAGTGATTTATAAGGCAACCTAGCTGTTGTTCTGAGACACATTCTAGGCTTGATTATGAAGAAACAGTGCTTGTTATTGATCAGGAACTTAAGAGTTAAGCACTGATGATGGAATAGTAAAATGTTAGAGCACTGTATTTTATGAAGCTTCCCTTGTACTAAGTACAGACGTAACAAGTTGACTATCATTCTAAGGAACTTTCTCCATAATGTTCATTCACCGAAGAGCTCTTCCTCTTGATGTAGTAGAATGTCTGAACTGGAAAGGGGGCGCGGGACAATCCCTCTGGCTTTCAGCTCTGGCCCAGACAATGTGCGATGAGAGTATGGGTGGATACGAGCTCCCGGCAACTCTAACCCGAAGTTTCCCACCCAAGAATCGAGAGGAGTTACAGACTCTTTCAACTTGATATAAGTTTGTTTATTATTCAGACTCATCATGATGAGAGCCCATATGGCCAAATTAGCTGTCAATATACCCCCCCGCCTCTGCGTCACATGAAATAGCCTTCTAGTACACCCCCATACTGTCAGCTTCGGTCCTGAAGAAATGCAGGACGACAATATATCTGTCCCCCAAGATGAACGAGAAACAGCAGTCTGTTTTCCAGGCACAGCAGCCAAATGTTCGATAGGAGCAAGCTTGGGTTTCTTTTCACGATTTGCTGTGGCCAGGTCGTAGTATGGATCCCATGCGCATGAAGGTGCGGTGATGAAGGTCGCGACAACGGGATTATGAATTTTTTCGTTTGCGTTGTATAAGATGGTCATTGTCGCCGAAATGGAAGTCAGGGAGTTTTTCTTTCAATTCTCTTGCTTCAGCTTATGCTAGATTTATATCTGTGGCTTCTGTGCTGAAGAACTTGGGACAGGGTCTGGGGTTGCTTAAGCTGATGGCAAAACAAATTGCGGTGGGTGTAATGAACGGCTTGAAGCACATCTGTACCATCATGGAATGGTTCTTGCAGTCGACCTCTAGCACCTCATCCAGTGGTGTGTTGGTTACGGTCTCTTCTAGAACATCGCCGTATGCATTCGTAATGTTGTCAACTGTGAATGTGGTCCATGGAAGAATCTGAAATTTGTCCACCGGACACCTTTCGCAGCCATAGTAAATTAGGCTTTGGAGAATCGGGACATTGATGATGGGTCTTCTCCTCGCCAGGAGGGAACCAAGACTGGGAGGATTCGGCGGGCTTATTCATGCTGGGCCTTGGAAGCCTAAAGATCTGGTTTATGACGAGCAAGAACAATTGGAAATGGAATGAGTATCCCTGAAAAGTTCTAAAGCTGATGATGCTTTTGCCAAGAGTGATGATGATGAAGAGGGAAGAAAAGCGAGACAAGAGTCAAAGAGATGTAAGGTAGGTAGGTACCTTAAGTTACCCTGACTGTCCGCCTCCCTGATGCCCAAAATACATCGCTACCTCAGTACCTAAGGTAAGGTAGTTCTCCATTACATGCACCAAAAAGGGGTATCTCGATCCGCTGACCTCGACTTCTCTGAATTAGTAGGTAGGCAGGCTTTTATTAGTTTCATCCTTCTCTCTTTATATATACAAACAGTCATGATCAAACTTTGTTGCGCCAATCAAAAAACAGTCTAGGATGGCGCTTCTCAAGTTGTATCGATAGGGGCTGCTTCCTATCTTCCGAGGTCTTATCAAACCCCGCGCCGGGAATACTTGCCAACCCTATTTGCACCACCTGCCACATGACGATGGCACTACCTATCCCTGGACCCCTCACATCTCAATAATCCTCAGTATTTTTGCACTGACTCTCATATCTACGCTTGTTTATCGTCAATATCGAAAGAAAGTATCATGGGCCTTATCTTGGTTACTGCTCTGGGCTTGCTCCCTGTTTTGCTGGTGTACAGATACATCATCTATCCTCTCTTTTTCTCCACGCTATCTCGTATACCCGCACCGCATTGGACATGCCATATCAGCCCTCTCTGGATATTAGCAGCAAGGAAGTGGAGGCGAGAGAATACGTCACTGTATCGTGCACACCAAAGGTTTGGTCCAGTGATTAGAATTGGTCCAGATGAAGTGAGCGTCGACGGTTTAGAAGGGATGCGGACCATATATCAAGGAGGGTTCGAGAAAGGCCACTGGTATAGCGTCTTTGATAATTATGGGTGAGAACGCCAACTTATGGTACTGGACTGTTGGTGATGAAACTAATATGGCCGTCCTTAGAGTTCCAAATATGTTTGCCACTGGCAATTCAAAGCCTCACTCCCTGAGAAAGAGGATGATTTCGAACGTCTACTCCAAATCGTACATACAATCATCTCAAGCGAGTAAATTGCAAATGGCCGAGATACTCGTCAACCGCCTCTTGCCCGCACTTGACGGGTCTCTTAAATCTTCCCACAAGTCGATACCTACAGACTACAATGATGTTGAAGTGTTCGGTCTTTATCTAGCAACGGCAATGGATCTTATCACTGCCTACATATTTGGTCTCTCTAACGCTACAAATTTCATTGCCGATGAGTCTTATCGCCGCGACTGGCAGGACATGTATCTTGCACGCGCCAACTACCCTTTCTGGACGCAAGAAGTTCCAAACTTGACAAAGTTTTGCAAAAGATGGATTCCTTGGCTCAAGCTCTATCCACAGTGGGTAGATCAGTCCAACAAGACACTCTCTGATTGGAACTGGGAACTTTGCGAGAATGTTCGGAAGACATCCAAGGCGACAAGAAGCTCCAGTAGCAGTCAAGACATTCAACGCTCGGACGAGCCAGTAGTCTATAACTCACTGCTTGCCGGGATAGAGCGCGAGTTCGAGACCAACGGAGAAAAGAGCATCCTGTACACTACGAGCGTTCTTCAACGAGATCGAGCCATTGCGTCTGAGGTTATGGATCATTCTCTGGCTGGACAGGAGACTGCTGGAATTGCCCTCACCTATGCAACATGGCATATTTCAAAGTCTCCAGAACTTCAACGACAGCTTCATGCTGAAGTTCAGTCTCTTAAGCCGTCTTTGATGACTGACCCTAAAATTGCGTCTGGTATCACGAACACGTTGACTTTGCCAGATCCTAAGGAAGTCGATTCCCTACCGCTCTTACACGCTGTTGTCACGGAGACGCTGCGTCTCCACGCGCCTATTCCAGGACCTCAACCACGCCAGACACCTGATCGTGGATGTAGCATAGCAGGGTATTATATCCCCGGCGACGTGAGGATCGCATCCCTGGCATATACACTACACCGGGACAAAGAAGTATTCCCTGAGCCTGAGGAGTGGAAACCAGAGCGTTGGATGCCACAAAAACTTGGGAAATCATCAGACGATGAGGCGAAGCATCGCGAGATGCAAAGACTTTTCTGGGCCTTCGGAAGTGGTGGACGGATGTGTGTCGGCTCCAACTTCGCCATGAATGAGATGAAGTTTATTTTGGCGTTCATCTATGCCAACTTTGAGACGTCCATTGTTAATGATGAAGGTATCGAGCAGGAAGATGCTTATACGGCGAGGCCAATTGGCGAGAAGCTGGTCATCAGGTTTACTCCTTTGAAGACATGAGACGCAAGACTAATTTACACAATCCTTTTTATCTCGATCTATCTATGTTTATAATCAGCATTACATGCTGCTTCTTGACTTTCAAGGGCCGCACGTGCCTTGGCTACCTGTATGCAAGGATGGGATCTATAGAATAACAACTGAGTTACCTAGAATGACACTCTGCTTTTTGGACATTTCTCGCTTTGTATAATCTTATAACCTTAAGTCTCAAAATTCACCTTGGCAGAGTGGTGCAAGCCTAACATGTCAGTACATAATTTTCCAAAACTGTAGTTCACCAAAATAGGAATGGATTTACAACAATCGTTGTTAACTGATTCCACCAATCGCTGTGTCACTACAATTTTACCAAAATGGCAATTCGGTTCCGTCTTGGTGACTTGAATGCTGTCATTGGAGGATATTTGAAACCCCATGTAAGTTCTACTAGGAGTTGTTGTACATAAAGGATGATAGACCCGGTGCACTTGGAGCCCGTCAACTCAAGATTCTCATACTCAAGAAACATGAAACTTTCGTTGCTACTGGCTTTGACAGCCAGTTCCTTGGCGCAAGCAGCCCAGCTTGCATTCCCTGGAGCTGAGGGTTTTGGTAGATATGCAGTTGGTGGTCGTCAAGGCGAGGTATACAAAGTGACAAACCTCAAGTAAGCTGAAGTCTTCTTGCCTATTCATATGAAGTGTCTAATGAAATCGAACAGTGACTCTGGGACTGGCTCGCTTCGAGACGCAGTGTCGAAGCCCAACAGAATTGTTGTCTTTGACGTTGGCGGAGTCATCAAAATCTCCGAACGCATCGTCGTGTCTAAGAACATCTACATCGCAGGCCAAACTGCTCCTAGTGGTGTGAGTCTCTAGAACCTCCAAACTTACACTAGCTAAAACATTCAAAGGGGATCGTCGTCTATGGCAATGGCTGGTCTCTCTCCAACGCCAATGACTCTATTGTGCGATACATCACCATCCGTATGGGCAAAGGCGGAACCTCAGGTAAAGACGCAATCGGTATTGCTGACGGCAAAAATATCATCTTTGACCACGTCAGCGTCTCATGGGGCCGTGATGAGACTTTCTCTATCAATGGAGACGTCACCAATGTCACCATCCAGAACACCATCATTGCTCAGGGCCTTGTTTCGCACTCTTGTGGTGGCTTGATGCAGACAGATGGCGGAGTCAGCTTGTTCCGCAACCTGTACATTGACAACAAGACTCGTAACCCCAAAGTCAAGGGTGTCAATGACTTTCAGAACAATGTGGGTAATTCTGTTTCTGTTTCTGGATGATTTTCTGACTGTCATATAGGTCGTGTATAACTGGGGAGGTGGCGGCGGCTACATTGCTGGAGATAGTCAAGCTGACAGCT